TATTACTTTGGTCAAAATACAGAATAAGTCGAATTCTAGCCAGGCACAGTGGCTCACACCTATAATCTTATTGATCTGGGAAGTCAAGGAGTGAGGATTGCTTGAGCTCAGGAATTCAAGACCAGAATAAATCAAGTTCCATGTCACTTCTAAAGGTGCCCATGTAATCCTAGACCATACACAATGCCCACTGGGATAACCTATTGAAGGAAAAAACAGCTCAAGGGACAGGTAAAATGATGCCTAATTTCATCTTACTGCTTGTATAGTGCATTTCCTCCCACGTTTGTATTATGAAAAGTTTAAAACATACAGAAACAATACAAGGACAATCTATGGGCAGGTACATGGCCACCTGCCACCTGGTGTCAACAATTAATATTTCAGCATGGTGAGTGTGTGTGTTCACAGGCTGTTACGAATGAAAGAAGGGAGACTTCTCCAGTGAGCTGCATTTGCCCAAGGCCGTGGGGAGTTTTGATTCCTCAGCCAAGTGTGAATCATGTCACCAAGCCTCTGTTATAGGACAAACCAGAGAGCAAAGCCCTTGTGAACGATGTTTGAGGCATTAAGGGCAGCAGGGTGTGAGCCTCACCTCATCCCCCTCATGGGGCTGGTAGTCAAAACGCAGTGGAGGACAGAAGGCAGTAGCATGCACCTCGAGCACCTTGGCTTTGTCCCCTGGGGGATCCAGGGCCTCCAGAGCTTCCTCCAAGCTGCATAGGCCCTGCCTCTGGGAGGCTTGGGTACGGCTCTCAGCAACTGCATAGCTCCGAAGCACCTGCCCCAGAGCCAGGTGGAACCCCATGTCACAGCACTGAGAAGGAAGCAAGGATGTGGCTCAGGTGGGCCCTGGAGCTGTAGCCTGTCAGCCCTGGTGCACTGGGCACCTGTGCCTGCCCACCCACAGAGGACTCACATCCATCAGGTCCAAGACATCATGCAAGTAGTAGTTGCTGACAGCGGCATTGACACTGGCCAGGCTGAGCAGGTACTCATTGCGTGCTTTTGTGCACTTGAGTTTGTGCTCCAAGAACTTGGCCTGACGCTGGTCAAAACAATGCAAGTGTACCAGGGTCACCCCATCTCCAGCCTTCCATGGAACATCCATTCCCTCCCCTCCCCTGTGGACAACTACAGCAAATGTCCCCACACAGGTCCCACAAACTCAATATAGCCCGTAAGTTCCGCAGGGAAGCACTGGGGGCATTATCAGTACAACAGCCTAGGGGACCACCCCAATACAACCTAGTGCTGTTACTACCCCCAAGAACATTCGAAGATGCCCAACTCCTCCTCCGCTCCCAGAGTCTCAGGACCAGACCACCACCCTCTGTCCTATCAGCGTGGTGGCTCCATCTTGGCATTCCTCAGTCTCCTGTTCTCTCTTCAGGGTCCATCTCAAATGCAGGGCTATGGGGGGCCAGCTTGGAAAATGGGGGACACTGCATAGGGCTATCCCAAGCCCAGTGACCATTCTCCTCACCCTGACTCTCAGGTCCTTTGCAGTCTTCTGCATTTAATCCCTGTAACCCAAGGGGATCATCCTGCTGCTACTACCCCTAGCCTGGGGACCCCTCTAGAGCTAGCAGGGCTGACTGGGCCAAGGCCCTCCCCATCCAGTTCTGGCTTCCCTGTCCACACAGCAGGCCCCAGTGAGGGCCAGGGACTCTTAGGGACAAAGGTCAGGAGCCAGAGCCTTCAGAGAAGGATGGGCAACTGGCCCAGAGCCTGCAGGTTGATTCCAAGGTCCCTCCCCAGGCCCACCTTCTCCACCAGCCGCCCTCCTTTTTTGAGGGAGCTCTTGCGGAGGGGCCCTGCCTCAGCTGTGGCAGTAGTGGCAGCAGTGGCGGGGGCACTCCGGCCAGCCCGCTTCTCCTCCTGTCGCTCAGCTTCACGGAGCTTGTTCTCAGCATTCATGCTCTCCGTATGGTACACCTGATACGTCTTCTTGGCCTGCAGGGAGCCCCCAAATCAAAGCCCTGCTGAAGGCCATGGCCACAGCCAGCCTCTTCCCCCACTTTCCACCTGAGACTCAGTCCTAAGAGCTGGGCAGTCCCACATGAGCACTTGGCCTGATCACCCTGTACCAGGGACAGGATGCTGGGGCCTAGAGGTGGGGGCTTTGGCCATGGTCCCCCAAACCCAAGTCTCCCCTAGACACCTGATTCTCCTTAAGCCTGGCTTGGGGAGATGTGATAGCATGGGGGTGTTCTTGCCCCTCTTGAATTGGCGTTTCTCCCCAGGCCCTTGAGCAGGCCCTTCCCCTGGGGTATCCTCACCGTCTGGAGCTCTGAGACCACCTCCATGAGCTCATCCTGCAGCTGCTGCTCCAGATCCTTAGTCTAGGGGAGGAGGGGAAATGTGACCACAGCACTGCTCCAGTGCAGCAACTGCCACACTTCTGGGATGACCTGCCATGCCTCAGCTAGGCACTCAAGGCTCCACTCAGATCAAGTCCACTCTGCCTGATGCCTACCTGGCCTCCTGTGCCCTCCCAGCACTGGCACCTCTGGATTGAGCCCTGATGGGCTGCCCTCAGTACAACCTGAAGCCTCCAACACCTCCTGTGGTCCAGGATGAGAGCTTTACCTTTCTCACAATGCGCCCCACATCCTCTGCGATGTGACTCAATCGCTGGGCCAGGGGCCCAGCCAGTGCCTCACTGAGGGCACCACTCTCTCGGCTCTGCTGCCGCGTCTGCTGCAGCAACACAGTCCAGCAATGCAAGGGTGACAGGAGGGATGGCTCCTTCCTGGGGGGCAGAACAGCACTCAGACTGAGGAGTGGGGGCCTTGGGGCCTGTGTGCCCATCTCGCAGTGTGTCACCTACCGGAAGCTTTGATGCTCCCGACTGCTGCCCCCCAGGCGGCCTCCACGGCCAGAGAAGCGCTCGGCTAGCTTGTCCAGGCCACGGGAGTACTCCAGCTCCACCTCAGCGCGCCGCCGCATGAATTCAGCCAGCTCCTGCAGCAACTCCCGCCGCAGCTCACCCTGTAGCTCTAGGCAGCGCAGCTGCTCACTCAGCTGCCAGCGCATCTCTTGGGATGGGTAGGGAGGATCATGCTCAGCAAGGGGTGGGGGACACCCACCCTGTCTGCTCTGAGGGCACCCTGTGCCTGGCCTAGGCTAAGAGCAAGAAGTTCTGGGCTCACCTGTCCAGCTGGGCTCAGGGAGGCTCCTGGGGAAAGTGCCTCTGTGCGGAGGCTAAAAAGAACCAGTCAGACCCAACTGGCTGAGGAGGGAGGGGAAGAATGAACCTGCGAGAGGGGAGGAGCTGCCCAAAGGCCCAGAGGTGACAAACAGCATGGCAGATCTGGGAAGGCTGACAACGTTCATGATGAGTGGGACTAGGCCACTCCATCCCCATCCCTCCCTGGTTTCTGGAAAGTCCCTGCTGGCTTCCCCTGCCACTTCCTTCCCATCAGGTACCAGGATCCCAGGTGCAACAGCCTCCCCTGCAAACACACACACAGGGCTCCTTAGGCGAGGCTGCTATGGTGCTCTGCCAGACCTGCAGGGAAGGGACAGCCCCCCAGTGAGACCTGTGTCTTCCTTCCCCTGATCCCTACCCAAGACAGAACTCCACCCAGGCCCTGCTCTGCTGGCCTTCTGACACCTCATCACTGGCTTGATTGGCAACACTCCTTCCCCTGCCATGGGCCTAAGGCACAGAACTGTTGGTCCCACAGCTTAAGCAACCTCTGAAGGACTTTCTGCCATCCCCTGAGCGCCCAGGCAGGCACCGGGACCTTGAGTAAATGAGACACTCTCTTAACACCTGGCAAGCAGACTGCCCACTTACCAATCTCTGTCCACATCCCCAGGGAGGCATATTAATTGATTTCTACATTCATCAGAATGTTGATTATGTGCCCATTCTGTGGCAAGCATATTCTAGATACAGTGGCAAAGAGGGTTGGCCAAGCCCCTGCCCTCCAGGAGCTGGCATCAGAATGGGCACAGACAGCAAGTGGACAGCTGCATGCTAGAATGTCCAGGAGCAAGGGGTACAGAAAAGATGAACACAGGAGGCCAGATCAGAGTGGGAGATGGGGCAGGGAAGACCCCTGTAGCGGAAGATGGGCAGGAACAAACAACACTGGTAAGAGAAGAAAACCGGAGCTGGCTGTGCCTGGAGTAGGTGGGGGCAGATGTCATGGTCCAAGAAGGACTCCCAGCTGCCCTCCAAGGGGGGGAGGAGCCACAGCATCAGTTGGCCTTCATCTTCAGGGCCCCCTTGTGCTGCCCAGGGGAGCCCAGGTGGCAGGTCTTTCTCTAGTCCAGGCAGAAGAAGAAGGGCTTAGACCAGGGGGCCAGGGTGAGAGGCAGGACCCCACTGGGAACAGCTTCATACCACTACTTCTCTGCCCTGCCAGTCATTTCCAGGGGTTATTGCATGGGGCCTCTGTGCATTTTGCCTGCCCAGAATCCCGATCTCTCTCTTCCTGATTTCCTCTTGGAGAATGTCCCTCCCTATTCTCAGCCTCTGGGTTTGAGTAGGCTTGGCCTTTGTCTCCCTGACTCCAGGCACCCCAGACCCCCCTTCATCTGCTCCACTCCCAGCCCCTGCCAACCCAGCCAGGTGATGGGCCCAGGGGCCCCATCCCTAGCCCTTAGTTGGAATTATTGGACAGGCATACTCTCTTTCCACACCAGGTAAGTGGAGGGCTGAGGACTCCAACAGTGACACCAGCACAGAGCCCCCAGTACCTCCTCCCTGCCCCTGTCCCTGCCCCCCGCTAGGCGAGGGAAAGAGTCTCCTACGCCATTGAGGTATACCATCAGGGTAACATTTTTTGGATAATGGTAAATTTCATTTTATTCTAAGAAAGTCTGAGATTATCAGGTTCATCTTACCTTCTCTCTGGCACCTGCCCTACCCTACCCTGCCTTCCTGGAGGAATACAGTCCCTAGGGACTGACTGAACTGCACAGTGCAGAATGGACACAGGCCAGCCCATTGCCTTTGGTCTTCACCGCCAGAAAATCCCTGCACAGGGGCTGGCATCAGGGAGAAGACATGTGGATTATAAGCCAGTGGTGCTAACAGCCTTCCTGAGGAGCATAGGCAGCTGGTGTCTAGCCCCTAGATTTCAGCTCAGACACAAACTTATCAGAGAGCCCTTTCCTCACCTCCGGAAACTGGGCCAAGCCCTCTTCCTGCTCCTTTTCTTGGCTCCCCTCACTCTCCATTCACAGTAGTTTTGCCCTGAAATTCAGTATGAGCTGAGCTATTTACTACATGTCTCCCTACTAGACCTGGAGCCACATGAGGGAGGACCAGCTTTCCTTGTTCAGCAGTGTATTCCCAGGGCCAGGGAAAGATGTATGTGAAACATCTGGCAAAGCGAGAGACAGAATTGACATACGCTTGAATTACAGAGCTGGGCCTCAGGCCCCACCAACACTTCCTGTGAATGAGGGATTTGGTCTCACTTCTGCTGACGAGCAAAACAGAAGAGAAGATGGCCTCCAAAACCTCAACTATGCTGACCTTTCAGAATTGAGGGTGTCAAGACAGTGGCCCTATTTTACTAGCTTGATAGGAAGTTTTTATGGAGGTTGGGATGGGATGGAGAAGTGAGGCTAAACACATTTTAGACCACAAGCAAGAAAAGGACAGTTTAGACAGTCTGGCTCAAAACACCATTTTTTTCACTGTGAAGTAACTGACCCCTATATGCTGACTAAAGAGCTTTCAAAGTCCTTAAGATATTTCAGGGAAGTAGAATGGGGATTGTTATTTCCATTCAAGAAACAATGACAGCTGGCTCACCCTGTGCAGGTGCCTCAGACTGGGTCTGGACATGGCCTGCCTCCTCTCAAAGGAGGAGAACTGGGGTACACCATGGTATAAATTGCTTGTACTGAGTAAGTAGAACCTGCATCTCAGGGTTGGAAAGTATTTCAAGGGTCATATCATTCTCCTGCCTAGGAGATGTAGAGCTGTGACCATGGGCAGGTCACAGTAGCTCTCTGAGCCTGTTTCTGTGATCAGTAAAGCAGAGCAATTTGGAGTGACACAGAGGTCAGGTATCTGAAGGCCATGGGAACTGCAGTGCCTTTGCCAATCACCAGGCCCTGAATGAGACCAGCAGATGTTGGCTAAGAGTATGAAAAGCTGATTTGCATGTGATTTGTTCAGGGGTGTTTATCAGAACCCAAAAAGGCTGAATTTCAGAAGGCTGAGAAACCAGCCCTGTGAATCTCTCAAGCCAAGATTCACTCTACCAGCTTAACCCAGACACAGTGGCCCTCACCCTGGAGCCACCTCAGCACCAAGAGGAGGCCAAAGGGGCTGGGGCTCTAGGGTCTATGGTGGTGTTAGGGCAAGGTGCTCACAGATCTGCCAACCTTCTCATTTGAATCCCTAAACCCTCAAAGTCAAGGTGGTCAATTTCACTGGAGCTAAAATGCCACCTTTCCAGGGGCACTTTGATTTTTTTGTTTTTTGTTTTTGAAACAGAGTCTATGTCACCCTCAGTACAGTGCCATTGTGTCACAGCTCACAGCAACCTCAAACTCCTGGGCTTAAGCAATTCTCTTGCCTCATCCTCCCAAGTAGCTGGGACTACAGGCGGCTGCCACAATGCCTGGCTATTTTTTGTTGTTGTTGTTGTCATTGTTGTTTGGGAGGCCAGGGTCAGGTTCGAACTCACTAGCCCCCGTGTATGTGGCCAGTGTCCCAGCCACTGAGCTACAGGCACTGAGCCTGTTTTTAAATTTTTTTTGAGACAGAGTCTCATTATATCACCCTTGGTAGAGTGCCGTAATGTCACAGCTCAGAGCAACCTCAAACTCTTGGGCTTAAGCAATTCTCTTGCCTCAGCCTCCCAAGTAGCTGGTACTACAGGTACACACCACAGCACCCGGCTATTTCGTTGTTGTTGTTTACCAGTCCCGGGCCAGTTTCGAACCCACCAGCCCTGGTGCATGTGGCCGGTGCCCTAACCGCGGAGCTACAAGTGAGGAGCCACAAGGGGCACTTGGGTGCACACGGTCCCTCATTCCCTGAGCCCAGTGAGCATCTCCATTTAGCCTAGAGTAAGGAGGATTATGGCAGGTGGTTGAAGCCCAATAGGTGTGGGGAGGCGGGCAGGGGACTCCCTTCACCCCCCTCCAGAGGTCGCTGGGGGAGAGCGGCTGACTCTGATCCAGCGGTGGGACACTTCAGGTCCCTCATGACCGGGCGCCCTCTCACCTTTGACTTGGGTCTCATACTCAGCCTGCAGCCCCCGCTCCCGCCGCAGCTTTCCGTGCGTGGCCATCGTGGCTGGGCCACGACGTCGAGCCCCGCTGCTCTCACGCGGTCGGCCGCGAGCGGGCCAGGCGCTGGGACCAGGGCCACCGCCACCAGCACCCTGCGCCGGCTCCGCCCCACCCCACCCCCAGCGCGGCTCCCAGTGGGGCGGGGTTGGCCCGGACCTGGCACTGCCTGCGAGTAGCTCCCGGGGGCAGGGCGCCCCTTCCTGTCCCGCTGTGCCCCAGGCCTTGTTGTCCCCTCCCAATTGGCCCGCACCTAGGCGGCCTTGTGCTCCAAAGCCCCACTTCTAAGCAGCCAGGGCGGGTGCGAGAGCCTCAAGGTGTTCAGCAAGCTGGTACCCCTGTCTGCCACCCCCACCTCATCCCCAGAAAGCTGTCTCTGGTCACCACAGCTAGCCTGCACCCTTAACACATGGCCACTGGCCCACAATACCAATGGGCATTAACAGCACTATTGCTCCAGGCCCTCCTAGACTCTCCCAGAGTCTGGATTGCCAGCTTCCCCTAGAACAGTGATTTTCTTTCTTTCTTTTTTTTTTTTTTT